TCTTGATCAGCAAATCAGCATGTTGGAATGATTTCTGAAGGATCACGTGACACTAAAGAATGGTGTAATGATGCTGAAAATTCTGCTTTGTTCACAAGAATAAATTACAATTTAAAATATGTTCAAATAAAAAGAAAACTGCCATTTTAAATTGTACAAATATTTCATAATATTACAGTTTTATTGTATTTATGATCTAATAAATGCAACCTTGGTGAGGATAAGAGACTTTTCATAAACCTTAAAAAAATCTTATTGCCCCAAAATTTTGGTAGTGTATAATCAAAATCATATTCACATTCATGTGCCAAAACATAATTACAATCATACTTTACAATTTAAACGTATTACATATTTGACAAATTAAAGAGAATGAGATTTTGACGCATTACAGTACGCCAATTACATATGTAAATGTGCTTAATTGTCATGAAAATAATGTCAAGATACAACAAAAACATCAAAATAGCTTAATTTCTTTAAGTTAAATAAAATATGAAACATGTTTCTTGACAGTTTTCAGATTCAACCGTGCGTAATGTTACCTCTGCTGACCAAATTCCATTTAGTCTGGGAATTAATTTCCATTACTTCTGGGAACAACTTCCATTTCACTCGTCCTCTTTAAAATGCAAAAACTAAATGCTAGATTAACAAATGCATTATGGCTGCCTCGCCATGCAAAGTGTAGAGTGAGATGGCCAAATACAAAGACATTGTCTAAATGGCTGTTTCCATGGAAACAGAATCCACAGATCTCTTTTGAGAAAGCGATTTAAAAGACTTGTAACATATGATTAGAATGAGAAGAAACAGCACACCAATATTCAGAGTGTGCTCATTATTACCACCACTAAAGAAACCGTCAGAACTGTAAGGAAGAGGCCAAAACCAAACAGACTCAAATTGAACTTTGTAGATCTGCATCCTTATTTTCTTAAAGGGGTCATATGATGTTGCTAAAAAGAACATTATTTTGTGTATTTGGTGTAATGAAATGTGTTTATGCGGTTTAAGGTTCAAAAAACACATTCTTTTCCACATACTGTACATTATTGTTTCTCCTCTATGCCCTGCCTTTCTGAAACGCGTCGATTTTTACAAAACTCATCGGTCTGAAAAACGAGGTGTGCTCTGATTAAATCATTCTAATATGCTGATTTATTATTAGAATTATCAACAGTTGTGCAGCCAAATATTTTTAAGTTACGCCTTCTTTCTTTGCGTGAACGTTTGGGCGGCGTTATGCAAATCTTCTCACATCGTGACGTAGACATGTGGGGTGTGTTAGAACGAGCCGTTTTAGGTAGGCGTGGTTGACTCTTAACTTTTATAAAGAATATCTCTTTGGATTTGAGACTTTAGTCTTTGCAACTTTACAGATCTTCTTTATGCACCAAGAGCTTGTAACACTCCAAAGAGAAAGGAAAAATTGAAATCGCATCATATGACCCCTTTAAAAATCGGACAAATACTCCCATCTAAGTTTTTGAAATGACCTCCCTGTTTCTTATTTTGCAGAACTGGCGATGTTTTATAGTTTCCAGCAAATGAAATCTAAGAGAAACTCTAGTAATGTGCAACCAAGTTAAGCTGCTGACATATTTGGCCTCTGTGAAAGTTTTTCTTCTTTTCCCAGCAGGCCTACCACTAAATGTCACCAACAAACCATGCATAAAAGCACTCTTACTTAAAAACAAAATGCCAAACTCTAACCATAAATTATTGAAAAAATAAATCATTCATCTATTATTGATAAAAGCTTTTGTTTCACTGCTTTGAATTTACTAAGGCTCAAGTTCTGCATTACAAAAAATCACAATACTGTAATTCTACTGGCTGTAATGAAGGGTTAGGATCTGTAGAGCACAATTAGCAAGACAGCCTTATATAATGCTGTCCACATTGCTTGAAAAAACAAACAAATGTTTGCCAGGTCTGCCATAAAAAACTTTATCTTTATTCACAAGAATTTTTTTTTATTATATTTGAAATGAAAAATGGTCAGCTGCTCCCACACTTCCACTATGTATGGCTCTCAACAACACAATGTTACATCATATTAATGTCTTTAATATATGTCCTTCACTCAGCATATAGTACATTTTTTTCCATGTCTGGTTGCATTAATAACAACAGCCACATCCTTGCATTCTAGATTTCCCTTGAGGGATTTGACAAACTGGCTTAAATCTTTAATCTTTGCTGTATCAAAAATAACATGCTTGGTTTTGTGGTTAGAGCCCGAGAGAGCTGTCCTCCACTGACCCTCATCCTCTGAACTACACATCTCCTCCATCAGAGCTGTCACCAACCGACATTGTAACCTACATCACTACAGGAGAGTTTAAAGGGTCGACTCATGACAGACTGAACTTTTATTTTGAAACAAAATAATATTTTGAAACTAAACCCCTAATCAGGTATGGTAGTTTTATATGGGCAAGTGGGATACTATAAAAATTACCCAAACTTCTCGATAATATATTTAGAAATTTCAGCTAAAATATGAATCTGTCTATCCATAATATTGCTTTTTCCAGTGAAAAAATGACCTTGACTGAATCAGGAGAGAAATATGAACAGATCAAACACTGTTTATAAGAAAAAAAGAGTCCAAAACAAAAGTTCTAATCGAATATGTCAGTGGATTTTGACATGAGAGGAGAACAGAGGATGGACTTTTTCACTGGAGGAAGCGTTATTATGGATAATGGATGCATATTTTAGCTGGAAGCAATAGTTCAAAGTTAAAATGCCTTGGTAATGGATTTGTTTCTTACAAACATGCAGCTTTTCACAAGATATTAACTGATGGACTGGAGTGGTGTGGATTATTGTGGTGTTTTTATCATCTGTTTGGACTCTCAATCTGACGGCACCCATTCACTGCAGAGCATCCATTGGTGAGCAAATGATGTAATGCTACATTCCTCCAAATCTGTTCTGATGAAGAAACAAACTCACTACATCTTGGATGGCCTGAGGGTGAGACATTTTTCAGCAAATTTTCTTTTCCTTTACAAAGGGTTTGTTTACTTCTGAGTCAGTAAGAGAGTGGAAAATGGACATAAAATACTAGTTTTGGCTCGAAAGACATTATAAATGGACCCTTGTAAAATAATAATAATAATAATATTGAATATTGTGACAGTACATGGACAAACAACAATTTTGGGCAATCTTTACACCACAATCTTGTAGGACAGAAAAAAATCTGTTTTAGTCTGTTTTAGTGAAACAATAAACTTTCTCTGTCAAGATATTTCTGAGAAGAGTTTAAAAATAAAGCAGATGGGGAGCAAAAGAGTTTTAGGAGTTCTAGCAGACATGTAGTCTAAGTGACAAAGTTCGATTTTATGTTCCCATGTGACATATAACAGCAGAAGCTTCAGCATACAGATGTTCATGGTGTGCTCTTTTCTGAGTAAATGCTGTTAGGTCAAGGAGGTGAGCAATCTAGAAAGGTCAGATGAAGTAGTACAAAGGAAGAAAATCACACCTGACAGTGAATGTAAAAGGTATACAAAGTAAGATATTGACTTATGCTTTGCTGCCCGTTGCTCCAAGAACTTGTACAAATGACCACCAAACATCAAATATAAGTCAATACAACAAGCAAACAACCAAAAGCATTAGTATATGAGAATGAATCAATCTAGAAGTCCTCTACGTTACTGAAAGTGAACACCATCAGAAGAAAACAGCATTCATATCATCTAAACAAACACAGGTTAACAAAACCTGCTAGTTTAAAAGCATCGTAAATTAAAGATTGATTATGATACCAGGATTTTTTTTCCACAAAAATATCCATTAAATTATCCATTAAAGTTGCAATGAAACAGAAGTAGCAGCAGATCTTTTTTCTTCCTTATTGTGACGTACACCCAAGTGTAATGGATTATCGAAAAAGAAAAAAAATGTAGGATAAACACTTGGTTTTATGCATGAGTTTGTTGATTGGAGTTTTGAATTGTGGGTATTAAACTAAAAAATGATTGCAAGCTTGCAGTGGATTGTAGGTGAGATTTAAGTAGACTAAATTATTCAAAACTTTGAATTGATTGATTTAAGACATTGTGATTAAACATTATAAGATAAAAATTTTTAAATTACATATATAACATAACATATAGGCCTATATGGACTAAATTTAGTCAATATGTCGTCATGTTATATTAATTAATTTTAGCAAATTTTACTCAGAATTTATGGACAAAAAAGTCCAACTTTTTCATCTGTATTTTGCTCTACCCAGGCTCATTTGCCTCAACTCAAGCTTCTGCAAAACTCAAAAAATGTTCCTATACTGTACTGTATGTACGAATCGCTATAGTTACCAGTTGAAATGAACACTAGAGGCAGTAAAACTCCAACAACTTTTATTCCTTTTCACACAAAGTATGATAGGGCCATAGTTTTGATTAAGAAAGCTTCATTTTGCACGATATTATGATATGACGTCAAAACAATTTTAACATGCTGTGAGATTTAAAAAGCTTCATGTTTTTCGCATGATTTTTTTCCCGCACACTCAGATTCCAGATTTTCAAATAGTTGTATCTCGGGCAAATATTGTCCTATCCTAACAAACCACACATATCAATGGAAAGCTCATTTATTCGGCTTTCAGATTATGTAGAAATCTCAATTTAAAAAAATGACCCTTATGACTGGTTTTGTGGTCCAGGGTCACATATTTAGATTTTTCCGCACCCTCAGATTCCAAATTTTCAAATAGTTGTATCTCGGCCAAATATTGTCCTATCATAACAAACCATACATCAATGGAAAGCTTATTTATTCATATGTATAAATCTCAATTTCAAAAGTTTTGTGGTCCAGGGTCACATATTTTCAATGAGCCTGGGTTGATTTTGTTGATGAGATTAACACTGGTGGACGGCAACGTTACTGTTTCTGACCACAATCTGTTCTCGTTTCAAATGCAACTCCATCAGAACCACATTGGCAAATATAACGCTAGTCTCACTTACTTCAGGACGTGTGTCGAGCCGTTGATCTGCGTGGCCGTGCAGGTCGTTCCAGGGCCCAGGATGGAAGGTCGGCGGTAGCGCTTGTGTCCGCAGCAGAGAATGATGAGGAAGGCACGACGAAAGGACTTGTTGAGGAAGGCGTAGAGGATGGGGTTGAGCATGGAGTTGATGTAGCCCAGCCAGAGGCAGGCCGCCCACAGCTGCTCAGGAACACTGTAGTCTATGAAGGGGTCCACCACGTTCGTGATGAAGAAAGGGGCCCAGCACAGGCAGAAGCAGCCCATGATGATGCACAGAGTCTTGGCCGCCTTGGTCTCGGTGCGCATGCGGTGGTTGCGTTGGTGGTCCGCGCTGTCCGCGTTCCCCGCTCCTCCGGCCCGCTGCAGCATGCTGATCTGTCGAGCGTGTGCCCGCGCCGTGACGTAGATGCGCTGGTACGCCAGCACCATCAGGATCAGCGGTACGTAGAAGGCCACGACCGAGCAGGTCAGCGCATATGGCTTGTTCACCATAAACACACACACCGTGGAGTTGCCAGAGAACTTCCGCTTCTCTATCTGTCAAGAGGGGGATGTTGACACATTCAGATTACACACACACACTAAAGAATGCACACTCTTAAAAAGTAAAGATTCCAAAAGAGGCTTTTTTCAGCAGTGCAGTTGAGGAACCTTTTTTGTTTTGTTTTTTTAACCAAAAGAATGATTTTTTTTCCCTTGGTTCTTTGCTTCTTAAAGTTTTAAAATCTTAAGAACTTTTATCCACTATTAAGAACCTTTTGTGCAACAGAAAGGTTCCATTGATGTTAAAGGTTCTTCTTGGAACCACAGAGAAATGTTATTCTTATTTTTGGTTCTTCAAAGCACCTTTCAGTGAACAGTTCTTCAAAGAACCATGTAAAGAACATTATGAGGAGTTCATTTGCAAAAACCGATAAACGGCACTTAAAAAAAAAATGAGCAGATTGCCGTGCATTAATCTCCACATATAGCGCGTTCTGAACCCTAAACACATTTTGTCAAAAAAGCTGTTTTTTCCACTTTCAAGGCATCGCGAGTTCACGTTTTACTGCAGAAGCCGACAAGCGCCATTTTTGTTTTTGAACAAGAGCCGATAAGTCCATTTTAGCGAATCAGCGCGCTGTATTCAGGTCAGGTGACAAGGCTACTTTCACTTTGAAAAGACGTGCTAGCTGAGAGGAGTTTCGTCAAAGCTGACTAAAAGTGATCGAGGATGCATCATTTCGACGAACTTGATGAACCTGTGAAATCTTCTTCAGGGCAAAAAAGGAAAATAAAAGCTGAAACGTTTTCACGGAAGCTTGCAAAAGCAGCACTTTACAATGGTGAGAGAAAAGCTCCGTGTATCACATCCATACAGTTTATGATCACAACAACAACGTTTGTCAGGCGTCTACATTGTCATCTGAGGAGATTACAATGATTAAACGAGTGTTTTTTAAACTCTAAAACATGAAATGTGGAGTTATCTGCTTTTGCTATAAAAAAAATGTTTAATATGTAACAAAACCATACTTTCAGTGAACTTTAATTTTGTAAATTACCCGTATTTGTTTAAGTTATTATTACTTAATCAAAACAACCCAACTGCAGTTTGATTGATATTACTTGGAATGCGCAATAAAAAAACGTGATTACACTTTATTCTGATAGTCCACTTTAGACATTCTAACTATAAGTAACTTTGCTATAAGTAACTACGTCAACTAACCCTCATTAGAGTATTATTAGACTGTTAGTATAATAACTTAGTTGACATGTAGTTGACAAAGTTACTTATAGTTAGTAGAATGTCTAAAGTGGACTGAAAATAAGGTGTTTCCAAATTGTATGAAGCATTATATAAATAAAGATGACTTGAAAAAATCTAAAGAACCGGTTTCCACCATAAAGAACCTTTTGTGAAATGGAATATTAAAGATTCTATCCACAGATTCCAATAAAGAACTTTCATTTTTAAAAGTGTAGGATGTTCTTTCACTAGTTTTCAGTGCTCAGCAGCTTCTCCCTGTGTCCGTTCATTGATATTCAACTCCGTGTGTCTTTGGCTTCAAGGAACAGTCATTTGAGGAGACGTTTTAAGAGCAGAGGTGACTACTCACAATACTTCATCTGGTCAAACACAAGCACCTTCAGGTGTGGACGAGACCTCGGCTAGAGGGCATGAGTCTGTAAATATCTTGCTCCCAAAATACACTATTTAAGTCCTCAGCACTTCATATTAATAAAAAATGCTTGACATTCAAATCATGTGACGTATGGCACTATATTAAGTGCATTACGTTTGTAACTAGTAAATTAATTACACATTAAATTCAGCCTCTGATGCATGATGTCCTCTAGTGTGGAAAGATTTTGAAGTCATTCAGGGTGTGATGATACATTTAAACCATCATGTGTGATGACCTTTGACCTTTACTTATAATTCTATATGAATGTCATCTTTATGGCAACATTTACACAGCAGTTGTCACTCTTCGTACATGCTGAATACTGTTCTTTGGTAACATGCACATTCAACTCATTAAATCCATATAGTGTGAACAGACAGTTCAAAGTCAAAGTGTCTGTCTGTCTCTAGCATATATCTGCTTTTATCAGCTCTGCAGTCTTTGTGTAATCCATACTGTACAGTGCAAAGCATAAAGACAGTGCTGTTTAAAAGTAGCAGCTTTGATTTAGAAAACGTTTGGGGTCACTAAGATTTTTATTTATTTTTTTATTTTTTGAAACAAGTTTTATACTTTTATTAAGCAAGCATGAGTTAAATTGATTGCACAAGTGGAAGAGCAGCAAATCAGCATATTAGAATGACTTCTGAAGGATCATGTGACACTGAAGACTGGAGCAATGATGCTGAAAATTCAGGTTTGCATCACAGGATTAAATTACATTTTAATATATATTACAATAGCAAACAGTTATTTTAAATTGTAATAAAATTTCACAATATTACTGTTTTTTCTGTATTTTTTTTATTAAATAAATGCAGCCTTAGTGAGCATGAGAGAAACACATAAGTTCTACTGACCCCAAACTTGCACATCTTAAATATAAACATCTTTATATAAAAAGCATGCTTCACATATGTTGTGATTTTTGGCTGGATAAGCCAATTAAAAACCACAGAGAACAATGTCATCCCATCAAACTATGTTCCAGTTAGAAATGTTATTGTATTTAATGAATGTGCAATTAGTGACATACATTAGAAAAACAGTGGTTAACCCCACAATTAACATGAACAATAGCTAAGACTAAATAGTCATTGTAAGTGAAGAGAGCTTGATGAGAGAAATTAACAGATACTTTTTTATCTGATCCAGAGCAGTAAGAATAATAAATTAAACACATACACAAATACTTTTTTTCTTTTTTACAAACAGCCTAGTGCTGATTTGATCCACAGAGGGAAGTGTCATGATGAGAGCTGTTAATCACAGTTCATCTGCGTCTCTCTCCTGTCTGCTCCTCCCAACACTCTCAAATCATAACGCTGAGCCCTCCAAGCTCGAAACCCAACACCAACACTATCAATAATAAAAAAACTCATGAACAGCAAACATATTTCACATCAGTATAAGACTTTTTTTAATAAGCTGGACTTTGGCCCATGCTATCATTGATATTCAATATCAAACCGCTAATTAGTTCCTTTGAGAAGAGCTTTTGGCGGAACGGAAAGCTTGACTCATTTACATCTGTGAAAATGTGAAGTATAGGTAGCCATTAATGTAATGCCTGTGAACCAATGCAAAAGACACCAGACGGCAGAATGCCAGCTATTTACTTTGAATGGAATACTAATTCATCTAGCCAACTATTTCCTTTAAATAGAACACTAATTCATTCTTTTATATTTTTCTTCTTCTTGAAATTTCAGTTTGAAGGAAGCTACAAACTTAGACAGAGAAAACCACTTCAAATCTCAATTATTTCTTTGGATATATTAGCTCAGTGCTTCCCAAGCTTTGTTGAATCCCTTAGATGTCAAATATTTACTTGAAATATGGCCTGAAAGGTAAAGATAAAATATTTAATTGGTTTTAGCAGGGGTTTTATTTTTATTGTTTATATTTTAAAATTATATATATATATAGGGCTGCACAAATATCATAGTTCGTATTATTATTATTAGTAGTAGTGTTGGAAAGGTTACTTTGGAAATGTAATAGGTTACAGAAGTTACCCTATTTAAAATGTAATAAGTTGTGAAACGATTTCAATTACTTTATTAAAGTAGTGTAACTGATTACATTTGATTACTTTTCTAGATTTCTAACAAATGTTTTCAACTGTTAATTATGTTCAAACATTTAAAGCAGGCAGGGTTAACTTTACAGTATTACTCAACACTGAGTACTGTCAGACTTTCCAAATCCTTCATCGCTTGAATTAAAATTATGATCATTTCATTTTAAACCACAGCCGCCACAAAATCAGATTTCAGCACCTCTTTTTACTCTGAGGTTGTTCTGAGGTTAAATGCAGATTTAAAATCATTACAAGAAATTGTTTAAATTCTTTGCATAGCTACGACAGGAAACACTGGTATCTAACAATGCCTTGGAAAGAAACAGTTAATCTTAAAAAAATCAAGCATATACATAAATCCAGAAAGGAAATAAAACAATTATCAAATAATCATGTGTCCTAAACTCCTAAAACATTGGTGCAGTCAATGCAATTTGGGAAAGAAATCAATTAAAATTGTGTGTGTGTGTGTGCGCATGTATGTGCATGAAAATATTCAAATGTAAAACCCTTTGTAATCATTCATATTTTAACAAGTAACTAAATAAATTACACATTTTTTCTCTGTAACTATAACTGATTACAGTTACTTTTTTGTAATTAAATTAAGCAATGCTGTTACATGTAACTACTAGTAGTAGTAATATTATATTGCTTTTGAAAAATTAAGATTAAGGGCCAGATTTACTAACAGCTTGCGTAAACCGTCTTTTGGCGTTAAAATAGTACTGGCAGGATTTAATAAAGACGCGCAGTAAAGAATTAGTGCTGAAAAGACGTGGACAGTTAATTTTGTGCCTGACTTGTTGAATATGCCTTTGAAGGAGTTAACCTTTCAGATGCAAAATTTATGGGAGGAGAGTGTTAAAATGAATCATGCAACGTGATTTACTAATGTTTGCGCTCATCAAATTGCTGGTATTTGTGCCATTATTTAATGCCCAAAAAAGCATGTTTTAAAGCAGGCGGTAATTTACGCTGCTCTTGGTAGATTGCCCTGGTCATTATGGAAACGATCTGGCTGTGTCTGTGTTCTTTAATGTGCGCATTGTTAGTGTCACGCTAACACTGTCTGAGGAATGATGGAGACAAGGAGTATAATAAACAGTCTTTTTAATTCACGAAACACTGGGGTAATCCAACACAGGCGCGAGGAATGACACATGTACAGACGAAGTAGACCCGACAGGGGAGGGCTGAGGGCGAGCAGAGGGGCTGCCAGACGACAGCGGTGGAGGAGGCTGGAGCGGGTGGCAGGCCGGGCATTTGTGAGTCTCCGGGTATTCAGGGCTTAGAGGCGGCGAATTCTGCTCGAGGACCATCTTCGGACGACGGCGCTCTGCACGCGGTGTTCAGGCTGGCATCATAGAACGCGGAGAGCGCGTCGTATGGGTAGCTGTTAAGTTCGGCGAGGGCCAGAAACAGTTTGGTATGGTCCTCGAGCGAGCGCTCCCCCTGCTTCAGCAGGTGGAGGAGGAATTCGGGGCGAAGGAGGGGATCCATTCGGGCACACCACGGAAACAAAAACACAGAGAAAAAAAACGAGAAACAAAACGAAGGGGAAACATGCAATTTAAACTGTTTTAGGTCGGGTCTTCTGTCATGCTTACACTGTCGTAGGTAGAGGTCTGCGCGGGACTGTTTTTTTAGTCCCGCTCCCGCAAGGTTCTATTCCGCACCCACCCGCTCCCGGTATATATTCACTCTTTGTTCACCCACTGTCCGCTTAGAATAATTTTCTTCCCGACCCGACCGTTTCCGCTAAATTTAGATCTCTTTTCCAGAATCTCACATTTAAATTTCCGCTACTGAAAGAAAGAGAGATAGGCTGACAAATAAAAGTGTAGTCTGCACAAAATTGTATGTTATTTTATTTATCTTGTCAAGAGTTTAGAATTTATTGACTTTAACTTGAATTTATATGAATTCAAGTCATGAGTCGGTATGAGTTACCGACCGCTACCGCGTTTTATTCGGGAATTTAATCCCACGGCGCAAAAAATCTGGTTGGGTCCCGCGGTTCCCGTCTGGGGAACGATGGAGACAAGGAGTATAGTAAACAGTCTTTTTAATTCACGAAACACTGGGATAATCCAACACAGGAGCGAAGAATGACACATGTACAGACGAAGTAGACCCGACAGAGGAGAAACGCAAAGACAGGAGCTTAAATGCTAGGGATAACTGGAGATACACAGGTGGCTCACATAAGACAATCAGACTAAACGAGGACAGGAAAATGACCAAATAAGGAAAGACAGGAAGGACTACGGGGGCAAAACAGGTACAAAAGTCTGACAGTTAGTAAATTACCCCACCGAATTTTCCCCTCCCATCGGCGCTTTTATGGTGCTTTTATGGTGCTTTTATCATAATTGCTCTGTAAAATAAAAAAATTAGTATTTGATAATTACAGGCATAATAATTGTTTTATTTTACACTGCAAATGACAATGCTATTATTATGTCTTAAATTCTCAATTTTCAAATGTTTAAATCTTCGTGTTGTTATTTTAGTGGAATAGCTACTGGTTAAATGCTGTAAAAGGATGAAAATGGTTCAAACGAGTAAATAAAGTGAACATAGCATACAATATTTCCCCAAAATGTATGTTAAATGAGTTTGTGATATGCAGCGTTTACTGTAATCCAAGCCACATTTAGGTGCTATATCACGATTTCAGTTTTATTTAAATTAATTGTGTAGCCACATCAATTTATTTTAACTTTGTGCTCAGTTTAATTGTATGTATTAGATGTATTAGATATATCTGGTCAGTTACCAAAGACTGAAAACAGAAATGGTGTCACATGAAACTCATGAAACATTACATTGTTCAAGCACGAGGAAACCATAGAGAAAAACATTTCCTTTCTCCAGCGTGACTTAATTATGGTGCATCAGTCTTCACCCAGGGACATTTTTGTTTGTTTACTGGTAAGTAATGGATTAAGTTCCCTACCTGAGGCTGTGGCATTTAATTTTCTCTTCAATCATCCCACCCCTCAAAGCTGGTCTTTACATACTGCAATTGCTTTCTTAGAAACATGCACAGAAGCTTGGCTTCTATGCATGGATGCATAATTGCCTTTTGTAAAATGCATAGAAAGCGGAGGAGATGCCTGAAAAATACTTTGCATGCGTCACAGGTTTCCCTCATAATCACTCCCTGCACATTTTATAGAGCATCTTAATAATCTATGCTTGCCCTGATTGCAAGGTGAGAGAATCAAAGAAACATCATTATTACAAGAAACAAAGTCAGACTGCCTTCGCAAACCTTATCAGCACAGTCGACCATCTGATGGATGTGACTCACCAAATCATTTATTCCAATACTGTTCCAGCCTTGCATTATGGGTAGGAAGGAAATAACGGTTGGGATTATCCAGCATCCTCCGATCATTAGAGCCACTCTCAATGGTGTCATCTTATTCCTGTAAACCAGCGGCTGGCAACAGATGGCATAGTACCTGGAAGAAAAGGTAAAGAAACAGCATGTTGAATAATCTTTATTTCTCCAGCCATATAGTACATACAAAATAATTAAGATGAAATAACTGTATATAAACACTGTTAATTGCACATACATGTGGCTAAAAATATTAATGCGCAACCACAGGTATACATTTTCTTGGAAAATGCATTTTCAATATGCATGTGAAAGACAACAACCTTGAAAAACCTGAAGGATGATGACCTGTCAGTGGCCCTGACTGACAAAATGTCAACCTATTCAAGCATCTGGAAGACTCAGAAAAAACACATTCTGTCAAGCTGCTAGAGCTTTTTAACCTTTCTGATCTGCTTTTCTAATCAGCTCAAGGTTGTCTAAAGGTGCAGTGTGTAAGAATGACAGCTAGTAGCTGAAATGTATAATGCAGTCCAAATTCAAAATATTGGAGAGCGTTGTTTCTCTGGTCTCTCCTCCTCAGACTCGACGCTCACGCGGGTTGCCAGATTGAGGACACGACTGCAACTGACAATGGAAGGCAACAAGCCTTACACTGTAAGTTAATGAGTTGATTTATCCGCGTTTTAATATTCCTCTGGTCATAGAGCTTTTTAGATGGACGCCGAGGCTTTCGTTCGTTTGCTGGCTTCCATGGCTGCAATACACTGTGTTTTCCACCAACTGGCGGAGTCACACAGACCAAAACAAAAACAGACATCCCGACACGGAACGCACATTCCAAAGTAGGATAACTGGCTGTAGCACTGATTTTCAGAGAAACAAGTATGTGAACTTAGCATGTTTCCTGAATATCTGCAAACATATGGTATATATATATATATATGCTTTAGTATAGTCAGAAAAGTTGCAAAATGCATACCTTTAACTATAGCATTCTGAGCTACCACAGAGTCCTGGTATCACACCAGCATAACCAGACATGTACAGAATTTATTTGAAATCTAAATCTTTATATATTATAAATGTCTTTACTGACACTTTTTATCAATTTAATCCATTCTTTGCGGAATAAAAGTATATATATATATTTTTTTAAATCGTACTGAATGTACACTTCTAAATAATAGTGTATGCTGTATAGTACGGTTGCCGAGAAGTGCAAAACAAATCACAATTCTGAAAACAAAATAACAAATTACAAACGCAAATGCAAGTCTAAAAAACAAAATAACAATTCAGAAAACACAACAACAAATCAGACAAACCGGAAGAGGTAGGTATAGTTTGAGACAGCGCCATTGGTTTGGGATTACTCACCGCTGACTGGACGAGACATCTGTCAATCAACGTCTATTTACTCTATGTTAAAATAGCAGGATTTCCTCTATCAAGTATACTACTTGTTGCAAATAGTGGCAATTATCTGCACTTCAGTATTGTAGTATGCAATAATAACGTATTGAGTGTAAATTATAATTTTAATTTTAATTATTAAATGGATGCCACCTTATTGGTACAATAAAGCCCTCCCTACACCTACCCTAACCCTACCCCCCTACCCGATACTTTATTTTTGATTATTTCCTTAATTTTTATTGAAAATAAATGCCTTTACGATGTGATACGAGATTTGAAATGGGAGAAAAAAAAAGTTTGGCAAAAGGCGGGATCGAACCCTGGTCGATCGCTTCAAAAAGTCAACGACACGCACTTATCCAGCTGCGCCACTGAAGCTGATGTTTTACAGCCACTTTTAACTTGATTTGTCGTTGTGTTTTTTGACTTGTTATTTTGTTTTCGAATTTGTCATTGTGTTTTCTGACTTGTTATAATGTTTTCTGAAATGTTATTTAGTTTTTTAGACTTGCATTTGCGTTTGTAATTTGTTATTTTGTTTTCAGAATTGTAATTTGTTTTGCACTTCTCGGCCACCGTAGTATAGTCTATGAGAAGGAATATTATTAAAAAAAAATATTCACACAGCTCTATTACCATTTTTTCCCCAAGCAATACCGTAGGTTGACTGGTCTCTGTACAAAACCTTAAATAGGGTTAAAAAAAAAGAAAACTTGTGACTGTTAAATAAATGGCTCTCAGTTAACAAAGACTACTCTCAGTTTGAGAGAGGAAAAATCAAGGTGAAAATTTAAGTGAATCCTTGACCTGCACTTATATATATAACTTGGTGACTTGCAAAAGTGTCATAAGTGTGCATAAAAAAAGTAACTGCACAACAAAAGCCCTGCTATAAAGGGTATAAGGGTACTGCTATAAATAGTTACCAACTACTAAAACAAAAAAACTCAAAAGTTAAACTATTTTTGCTTGATAGAAACAGTCTCTGACTTGTTGAAGAACTGAAGATTTAAGGACCATGCCCCGAAAGGTCTTTACCCGTTACACAACCTTTCGCCCTTCACTTCCCATCACGTTCGAAGCCTCACACTTTGCCATCTACTGCATGTCGTGAGCTGAGCCTCAGATGAACATTTTGTGCCTTGTGGCTGTCAAGGATGCGTGTTTGGAGAGGTCTGCTATCTCGAAGACTCAGAGAAAAAGCCACAGAGGACAGACTTTACTCACAATTCCTTCAACTGAACGGGACAGGTCTCTCCTTTTCTCTCTCTTTAACCCAGATGTGTCAAAGCTTCAGTCTGTGTGTGTCGAGGTTCCTGTTTACATGCATGCCTCCGGCCATAGAGTCTGCTAACCCAACCATGTGTTCACCACAGCATGTTTAGAGCTACAACATGCTCTAACCCCATGTGTCAATATGGCCTCTGCCCCTACAGGTCAGAGTTTGGGTTTTACTGTGCTTGAAGGCATCAATGCACGTCCAAATTCTGGAATCCTGTTTTTATAATTCCATTTGGTGGTGCAAAAATGACACAATTCACCTTGCTGGAAACACAACAGGTGTTCTGAGTCATCTGTTGTGTCTAATTGACAACATAACTCCACTAAAATGCCTACGTTAGGTCCCCAAATAACGTCCTGATGCAATTTATTGACTCTTTATCTGGGGGCGTTTGAATGGGACTCACATATCATTCTTCTGTAACAAATTTGGAAAGGTTAGGGCTTAGGAGGTTTGCAGCAGAGAGAGGAAGTATTTGTTAGCGGGTCTGAAGCACTGAGCAAGCATTACTCACAGTCTTAAATCATTCCCAGCTTGTGTCAGACGACTCTCTGCTGCAATCCAGCACTGGACTCTTTCAGAATTGCACATTTGCTCATTTTTTAGAGTTGGGTCAGTTAAATAAGTTTTAAGGATCTATGTTTTACGGTTCAAAAGTTTGGGGTCGGCAAGATTTTTTAATGTTTTTTTAAAGAAGTCAACAGTAATATTGTGAAATATTATTACAATTTAAAATAACTGTTTTCTATTTGAATGTATGTTAAAATGTAATTTATTCCTGTGATCAAAGCTGAATTTTCAGCATCATTACGCCAGTCTTCAGTGTCACATGATCCTTCAAAAAATCATTCTAATATGCTGATTTGCTGCTCAAGAAACATTTCTGGTTATTATTAATATTGAAAACAGCTGCTTAATATTTTTGTAGAAATCATGATCATTTTTTTCAGGATTTGTTAATGAATAGAACATTTATAAGAACAGTGTTTCATTGAATTGAAATGTATGTATCATTATAAATGTCTTTACTGTCAGCTTTGATAATTTTAATGCATTCCTTACCAAATAAAATTATTAATTTAAAAAATAAATAAATTTCCAACCACAACGTTTTGAATGGTAGGGCAGTTCACTGTTTTTTTATTGTTCTGCAACTTTACCCAACACGTCTGATTTTGAAGGTTGTACACACCAGCTTTTTTCGTTTAAATACATAGTGCCTGTTTTGAATTGGATCAATTTGGCCCACAATGAATTCATGCACTCTCTTAAGAGTATTCCCATTTCTCTAAACAGCTGAATTGGGACAGCATAACTAAGGCTACACATAAGCATAAGGGGCTTAATGCTTCTCATTGTTCTGGATGCAGTGTTAATAAAACGAAACATAATTAAAATGAGGTGGCACAATTACAGCAATTGCATTAGTGCATAAAGAGCAATACGTAAGATGCTCATTAAAATCATCACATGCCCAAGATGTCCTCAGGGATTTGGCCCTTATATTTTAATGCGCATCTCTGGCTGATATAAGCGAGTGATAAACAAATTACCACCGCTCGGACTTTCACACCTACATCCAGTCTGCTGTGAAGAATTCTGACTGTAAGACTTGCGATTCTTGGGCTGACTGTCAGCCATGGTCTATTGGTGCTTATGCCAACCACAGCCCTGTCAAAGATGGATGTCACAGAGCCACTTCTGTGTACGTGCTCAACCAGCGTATTGATTTCTTACCGTGGCACCTGTAAGCGCTATCTAAAGGGATGAAAGCAATCGCAGTGGAAAAAAAGCAGGCGGGCTTGAGACAACATTACAGTTCCAATGAAGAGTATCGGCTCTGACTCACACGGTGCCTGAGGCAAGGGAAGAACAACCTTTATTTTAATAAAATAAACGTTCAACTACACAGTAAGATTCAAAGATATGATCAAATGTACCAATACAACAAAACACCCTGGGTGAATATGGCAAAAAAATTAACAGATATCACCATACTTCTGCAGTTGATTGCTTATGTTAAGAATTGCAATCAAACGTTGTATTACAAGTTTTGTGAAATGTTGTTTGAATATGCAATTGATGCATTATCTAATTAGATGTGCATTCATTTGCATACATTTACAGAACAGAAATCTGAACACTACATATAGACAGGTTCAAAATTCTTGTTTCATTTGCTGATATATTAGAGTCAAAGGTTTTCACAGAGGGGATTTTGGATATGAATTTTTGTCACTCCATAAATACTGTTAACAGCGAGAAAAAACCCTAGTTTTGATTTTATTCTTTTATTTTTTATTTAACCAGACAATAACATAAAAAACAGTGTGAGACAATTAAGTAATCACACAAATGACATTATTAATTACAATATGTAGCCACTTGGTAAATCATATGCATTCCCTATATGAAAAAAT